AATCGGGTAAAATTGGGCATGAATTAGTCGCAACTAGTCTCATGCGGGTATAATTGGTTCATCCCTTACGGGTATAATTGGAGATCAATTAGTCCCCGACTTATCGCTAACGGATACTATTAACGATTTAATGATATTTACATACCTACTCAATGAAATTTTATGTGCGGCGTTGGGATGGAGAGAGAAACAAAACTATTAAACCCGGGTCGAATCGCAGCTACCGCAAATTTTTATTTCTATTTTGTAAAATTGAGTATTCGCTTTTTATACCCGTCCGGATTAGTCGCATTTTTTGCAGGGCAATGAAACTTTAGACAATAAATTTATTGCTCTATATGTATGTCTACATAATAACAACCCAGAAATAATTTTGTCAAGGCCTTCCCTCTATAAGGTATTACAGAACTGTTCCTAAGCAAGTGCAAAGTACATCTAAACATCATCCCTAGAATGGTCCAATTTTTGTGTGGGGGAAAAAATGTCATCCCCCATATTTATAATATCTATAACAACTTTAAATTTTCCACTGTAACCAATATATGGTGCTCAATGGCCTTGAAATGCGCTACTGGATAGCTGTGAAACTGGTTGCCGTGACAATTGAAGGTTCTGATATTTTTTTAGATATGTTTTTAGGTTGCTTAACTAATGGTTTGATTAATATACGTACAAAATACTTCTAGTATAAAATATGAGAATCATGAGCATCCTATAAATTTATACTTAGAAACGTAAAGTTTGGTACTAGCACCTCGTTTGGCAAGAGGAAAAATTTTTGAAGGTGCCCCAAACCCTATCTCGGAAAAAAATTGTTTGCACCACTCTAATCATGTAAGAATTTTGGCATTTAAAATAGCGGACCCAATATGACGACCAACTTTTATAATTTTTTCGTTTTCACGACAAACTGATATACATAAATGGGGAGTTTTCGAGGTCGCTGATTTCGAATCTAGTAATAAATTGGCGACCAAATTTTATAATTTTTTATTTTTCACCAAAAACTTATATATAAGGAGGGTTTTTGATTTCAATAATTTCAATTCTGATGTCGATTTTTGAAATTCAAAATGGCGAATTCAATACGGCGTTATCGGAAAAAAATGTTGTTTAAAAATTTTTTTAGTTTTTGCTAAATACATATATGTATATTTCTAATTATGGCTGCTTCAAATAAAATATTTTCCCTTTATATATAATGCTGTTTTCGCTTCTACTGAAAAACGTTACCTTTTCATTGCCCTCTCAGCACAATCAATAAAAACTGGGCAATGAAAAGGCAACATTTTTTACCATGCTAGTCCTCATGGGAGAAAAGGCAGCATGACAAGGCAGTGCATGGCAACACAGTTACCATACGGATTTAGGGCCGGTTTTTCAATGTCTTGTTATCACTACTTTTCCGGTTAAACATCATTACCGATGTTTTCGACATCATGTATACAACATGTGATCGATAAAGCAGTCGTTGTATTTAAGCGGAGCTTCTAAATACAACCGGCCCTCAGATAGGAATCCAATTCAAATTGAACATGAACTTATTTGAAATGGTATGTTCACTGCATTACCGACGACAAGATGGATGTCCATGCTAGTTAGTTAATTAGTTCTGCAGGTCCCAGATCCGATCCTCGGTTGGAGCGATTGCCAACAAATTTTTTGTGTTTATTATTTGTTTTATTTTTTTTAGTTTTATTTGATTTAATTTAATTTTACTTTGCTTTCTTTTCGTTAGTTTTATTTTATTTCAAATTTTTTATTTTTTTATTAGTTACTTTAAATTTTTAGAGTTTAATTTTACTAAAAAAGTCAAAAACAACTTTAAAAAATATACAAGTTATAATTGAATCAATAAAAAAATTAAATGAATATTTTACTGACCGTGGGATTCGAACCTACGACCTCGCGGCTCGTTAATCCGCATTACTGCCGTCTGTCAAGGTACAATTTTGATCATATCAATTGCACCGTTAATTTGGATCAGCGTTGCCGTCTGTCGTTGCTTTTAGTCATTAAATGGTAATTTTTTTATATTTTACTCTAGAATTTCAAACTTTGTGTACGTACATAGATCCCAAAACCAATAACCACGGCTTGCTATTTCTTTTCCGGTACTATTACCTGTACAATGTGCAGTGGTGTGGAGACAGTTTTATTTAAAATTTTGTGCAGAGAGAAGGCTACCAGAAGAATGTTGTAAGGTAAAGAAGTTCTCAAAGATGGAAGTTAAGTGGAACAGTTCAATGGTGCGCTTTGCCATTCAGCTCGTTCCGGATGCTATTCACTGCATTGTGCGAAACTCGAGTCCGAAAATTATGCGTTCAATACAGCTCGTGTTTCAAAAAGAAGTCGGACGTTTTCATAATGTTTCCTTGTTTAGGAATGTTTGTAACGAATTTGTCGGGGTGAAAATTCCGAGCACAAAATACAAAGTTATGAAAAAATATTTTACAAATACATGTGTATGTATGTGACGTAACAACTGAATATTTATGTGTTGCTTTCACAACAGATCGAATAATATATGCGAAATAAAGATGCTGTTTCGGGGCTAATAAATCTTGGCTAATTCTCTAGCTTTTGTGGAAAAGTTTGGAAATATTATTTTTTGTCCCGTATTCGGCTGCCATAAATGTGGTCACCGTACTTATAGAGCACATTCACACTCACGAAATTGCTCGTATTAAGCTATTTTAATAAAGAAGTCTTAAAGTAAAACCTCTTTTCTGCAAAATCATTTATATGGGAATTATAGCTTATAATAACCCGATCTTGGTCATTTTCACTGTAAAATTTCTGTTGATAACAAGTGAAAATAGTGCGAAATTTTAGGTTTTAGCTGCATAAATAAAGGAGTTATAACACAAAATTTCATATCTGAAAAATCTGTAACATGTGAGCTGTATGTCGTAGTTGTCCGATGTTTCCGGTTTCGGCAAATGATTAATACATTACAAAAAGGCACCCGCTTACCAAATTTAATTCGGATACATCGAGAACGAAGGGATTTTTTTAGGTTCACGTTCATTTCGGTATGCTATTTTACGGTTCTATCTCTTCTTCTTTTTCTGGTACTTACAAATATCGGACCAAGCTTATAATACAACTTCATACTTTATGAAAGGTATAAAAACTCGAAATGTTGTGTGTGAAGTGCAAAAATTGCAATTCAAAGTTTTGCACGAAAAAAGTGATAACACAATCGGTCAATAAATCAATTGCCATTATCAATTGATGCACTATTAATTGCACTAGATTAGTCTTAGGGGGTTTTTAGTGACGCGATGAAATCATGCTTATTAGTATATTGGCGGTTATAGAAAAACAAAAAAGAATTTTGCGTCACCTCATACTGGTACTAAATACATACCAGCACTAAATATTTTCATTCTCGGTGAGGGCTTGAGGCCTAAAAAATGCGTGCTTGCAGTGGCAAAGATTTCGACTTGATTTTAGAGCACGATTACTGCTTTTGCTGTATAGAGCGTGAAGATCTTGTAATGTGCGGCGGCTGAATATTCTATGTAAATAAGACCGCACTATCTTACAAGCAAAAAAAAGTTCACCGTACACCCCTCAGCCTACAGAAATTTTTCAAAGCAATTTCTAAAAATTATTTTTCTACCGAACCTAGGTGTCCGCGGAGGTGTAATGGTTAGAAGTAGGCGCTACCATTTCGCTGGGCTTGGGATCGACCCCAGTTTCCGACTTACACCAACAACAAAAGAAAGGAAAAAGTTGTTTCTAAAAGCGCGGTCGCCGCCCATCGTCAGGCAATGGCAAACCTCCGAGTGTATCCTGCCACGAAAAAAAGCTTCTTATGAAAATACATTCGCCGTTCTGAGTCGACGTAAAGCTGTAGGTCCCTTCCCTTTGTGTGACAACATCACCTACATTTGTCAATAAAACATTTTTTCTTAATTAAAATACATTCACAGGAAGTTCTATGATTTTTGATGAGATTAGATTTACTGATATAAGAGTGGTAAGAACTGAGAACTGAGAAATGGGTAAATACTAGAACGGCATACTTGAGGTCAATGAACATTTTAGCAGAGAAAATTACCTCCTAAGACAAATGCATCAATCAATTGCCGTGCAAAACTACTTAAGACTCAAGAGTGTACGGCGAACTTTTTTCCGTTACGGTCTAATGTTTATGTTTATGTTATGTTTATACAAAAAAAAAAAAAACCTGCTAATAACACCTCTTACAGTATTCATGCAGCTCTTCAAAGTAAATGACGAGTATATTAAAGTATTTGAAAAGTATTAAAAATTATTAACTTGGACTTGATAATTAAGTAGTATGCAACTAAGTATTAAAGTACGCTCTGGATGGCTAAGACGTTCGATTTTATGACGTAGAAGTTTTGATGATGACGGCTTATGTAAATACTTATATACAAGTATCAAAATGAATGAATGAGCTTTATGACACTGTATGCTTAAAATTAACGATAGCGAGTGTCCATAGTAATATCGGGCAAAATACCTATTATCTCAGAAAAGCACTACCTAATTCTTTGACCATCGGTCTGTGCTTATAAACTCGAATCAGCTGGAATGAGTTCGAAGAATTTTTGCCCCTTAAATATGAGCGCTTTTTTATTTTATGTATGTATTTTTTTGCGATCTTCCAGAAACCACAAAACCTAACAAAATACTTACGAGCTATGAGTTATTAATGGTGCACACTCATTTTCCAATTTCAATAAACTTTAAATATCTATGTATGTATGTATGTATGTATGTACGTTGTACAACCTATGCATTTAAACCGGTGGGCATAAGGTGCAATAAAAAAATGGTTTTGCACGCAATCAGCTAAGCAAAGTAATGAAGTCAACGCTGGTATGCTGATATCGAGTGGCTATGATTGCTCACGATAATACATATGTGCATACATCCATACAGAGCGTGGTTCTTGTCAGCAATAGAGATAATTGTCCTTATCATTTGTAATAAAATTTGTTTTAAACAGCAGATAAGCGATTAAGTGGCCTAACTATAAAGGTCTTTGCTGTCATATTGAAATGCCAGTTTAAGACATTTAACCACCTCAAACTGCAGGTTTGGTGAAAACATATACATAGATCATAAGGTTAGCAACTCAAAGGATGTGTATAGATACAAAGGCGGTGAATTGAAATACTTAGTGAAAATGTGGGAAATTTAAGTTCATACATATTTACATTCATATTAAAAAATTTCGAAACAAAAGGAAATTTTACTTATATGCCAATAGTGACAAATAGTGAATTTGATTCAAGAGCGTATTGTCACTACAAACGAATAAAGGTGCGCTATAAAGTTTTGACGGCGAAAAAAAAACGCGCCCAAAAAAGTTTACGAAAAAAGACGCTTAAGGAAAACTTTGGCGAAGAAAGACGCGAAATCTAGTTGTTTACGAAGAAAGAAGCGTAAACATAGATTTATACCTGACCAAGACCAAGGACTGTCACTTCAGCATCATTCCCTAAATACGCTTTGGGGAATTTACATGCTGCTACACCCGCAAATATAGTCGATCGCGAAAGTAAGTTTACGGGTCTTTCTTCGCCGTCAAATATTTTAACGCGTCTTTCTTCGCCGTCAACTATGTTTAGAGTCTTCCTTCGCTGACTTTTTAGAGTCTTCCTTCGCTGACTTTTTCTTATGCGTCTTTTTACGCGGTCAACTTTTGAGCTTGCGCCTTTATTCGTGTCTAGTTACGGTATAATTTATGTGCAAAATGTGTAGTATTGGACAGCCGCCGTTGCCGATTCTTTTCCTACCAATCAAGCCGGTTGTGGATTAATTCATACCTAAAACCTTATCAAAAAAAATTGTATTATTGCAAAACTTGTCGCATAATGTTTGCATTGCAGCTGGCAATAGCATTCAAGAGCATTTCCACAACAAAAAACAAAAAAACATTTTTCGGCCTCATTATTAGGTGCAATCCCGTATTCTTCGGACTAAAACTAGTAAAACTGTCAAAAAATAAAAATTCGCTCAGAGCGAGAGAGTAAGATTGAAAAGTACGGAATCGCTTTCTAGTAAAAAATGGTAACTTCTGTCAACTTCAACATAACCTCAAAATTTTGGTTGTAAATTTTTGCTGATTTCGTATGTAAACACACTCAGCTCACACATGCAAATAACCAAAAATGCTTTCAAATTTATTAGAATCCACTTAAACAAGTAATTAAATACTTTTCAACACGAATTAGCAGAATGCACTTTTCTGTTGTTTACAATTTGGTTTCCAAACACACATTTACCAGAATTTACCATCAAAAAATCTTCCAACTGTAACTGGTAGCTTCTGACAGAGAGAGGACCTTATTTACTCTCTTTTTGCCCTCTCAATAGTCAGTGAACCGAGTACGAGATCGATTTCCATCGATCGTACGGGATCGCAACAATTTATTATTAAGGAGACTACTCTATTTAAACCTTACAGCTACGACTGTAGGGATCCGTGACGATATTAAGTCGCACTGCGTGGGTTCCTAAGGGGCAATGTTCAGTCAGTACAGCTGAAATAATCGAGAGTAGGCTCTTAGGCAGCAGGAGAGGCTTCCTTGACCGCCTGCGATCAACATTCGGCCGAAAGAACCTCGCAACTTTGCATTGCAGTATTTTTTCCCAGCGTTCGCCAAGCTGACTGTAATCCCATCGCGCCAGGAGCGCGCCGCACATTGCCAAGGGAAGGGAACTATGGTCTCCCTCTCCGAGGTGATCAATAAACACAAAACGAAAACATACCATTATTTTATGTCTTTACTTTAATCTTAGTATCGTTTTCTCAAGTAGCTTTAGAATTTATCCGCCCAAACACCCTTTTTTTAGAACAAAATTTCGGTTAGCGTGGTTCAAAGTTATGCGGTAACATACATAAAATAAAAATAGAAATAAAAATAAATTTAAAAAATATTCCTACGTATTGATAATCTTCTCCTTTTTGTGAAGTCTGTTAAAAATACAAAAAAAAAATATAGACTTTACTAAAAACCTATCGTGAAAGATTTTCGTTCAGGTTTTCTTTTTTTTTTTAAGTAATTTCCTGCAGTGGAAAATTTTCCTGTATTCAGATATCAAATTAATCAGGGTATTCATATAAACGCGTAACTGCCTCGTAACTGTGTAAACCTCGAAAATAAACCGGATTTCCGTACAAAATTTAACAATTTTACGAGGTTTACGTGGATATGAGGCTTTTATGCGTTTAGATGAATTGCCCTAATAAAAAATCTTTGTTCCATTTTCAATAAAATAGATATTTAGAATCTGGTGAAATAAACTACGTGAAATCCCGCTTTGCTCGATTATAAAAATCGGGTTTAGTCGTGATTCGAAAAGTGTCCAAAATTATTAAAACCAAAAAACTGTTGAAGCCGGGTAAATCGGTTCCGTGGAGCATTGGAAAAGTCTTTCCATCAGGATTTCCAAGTATTCCTAGCTAGATTCGGCTCATGAAACATCTGGTTTGCTGATATTTCGGTTTAACAAAGTATTCTGTTTTGCCTTAATGCCTTATTTTTTGTCTTTATTGCTTCGCAGAAATTCTGCCAGCAACAGCAGGCTGGGGTTTAGTCTCCTGGGATGGCGTTTCCTGTCGCATCTGGAGACAGTTTGCCTAGACAATTACGAGACTGTTCTTGGTGTTCAGAAATTAATTTCGCTTAACTAGGTTTTTGATACCCAAAGCAGTTAGTATGCCGGTTATCGAAGTTAGCGCTCTTAAAGTTAAGTGCTTAATTTACTGCTGTGACTAAGATCATTTCAGTTTGTAACTTTAATTCCATATCATAAAAATCTATAATCAAAGCTACGTTTATAGCGTATGATTATGAAATGCTGACGTTTGTAAATATTTCAATCAAATTTATGGTATATTCGATTAGAGACCTAATAAATATTTCATAAATATGTATATACACATGTATATACCTTTGAACATAAGGAGCATCACGTACTATACTAAATAATTTATAAATGAATTCCGTTTTGTCGTATAATATTTTGGCGTCTAAAAAGAAAATAGTTAGACGAACAATTTCCCAAGTCATACTAGTAATCATACAAAGGCACTGCTTCGCGTGCTCTGTTCCCTATATCGAGGTATTATATTAAATACAAGCTATCTGCAATTTCCACTTATGTATGTCGTTGGTCCGAAGAATTTTTCATCGAATTGCATAGTTCCAATTAACATCAATGATGACAGTTAAGTCCCAGATGGGTTCTAAAAATAGAATATTCCGTTTAACTCTATATTCGCAATGGTTCCAAGAATATGGTTCTCTGAATTTACAATGATTAACTATAAACGCCTCCTAATTTTTCAAAAAAAAAAAAACGCTTGTTATTCTTGTTGTTGTTCTTGTTATTTACGATATAGGGGCAAAAAATTGCATGAAAAATGGGTTTAGTGGCCCGTACTACCTCGCTGGTGCATTCAGTTCTGAAGAAATCCTATCATTGACCAAGTTTATACCATGAAATTCCTCTGAACTGTAGAATTTTGAAGAAAACAAATCTAAGCGTTCGTTTATTTTAAACGCGAAGTCTTTGCACGCCTTGGTCGAGCACTTAATATCAATATTGAGGGCTCACATTTTCTGAGATTTTTTTATAGCTATTTCCCACAAAATTTCGATGTTGTAGGGAAAAAAATAGCCGCGAGAAAAGAGCCCTAATACATACATATATTATCTTTATATATGAATAGAAAAATGATTAGTACAGAAAAGCTACCAAAAACTAATGATCGTCAATTTAAGTGCAGCTAGAAACCCCTAATTTTCAGATTTTTAGTAACTGTATTGATTCATTGATTTATATCTATTCATTATTTTTTTTTTAGAATGTCCAAACTGTACCTCATTGCCGCGGTAGTGGCACTTTTAAACGTTCACACGCTCGCCGCCCCCTTCGAAGAACTCAATGAAATAACCGGTAAAGCAGTTGCTTCCGATGGCGAAGACTATCGCTTACCATTTACGATTCGTCCATGGAATTACACACTGAAGTTGACGCCATACCTGCAGGAAAGCGATGGCAGCAAACGATTCACATTTGATGGTGAAGTTACAATCCAAATCAATTCAACCGAAAATACAAATACACTCATTTTACATTCGAAAAACCTAAACTATACAACACGCGAATATTGGTCTGAAACTAACCTCACTAAAATTAATTTGGGCGAGGGCACATGGAATAATGTAACTGACAAATTGCAATATACATTGGCAACGCCCATACAAGCCGGCATAACGTATATTTTACATTTTGTCTATAATGGCACCATGGATGATGATATGCATGGTTTCTACCGCAGCTCCTATGTGGATGCCAATAATAATACCAAGTAAGTTAATATTTTATGTGATTGTCAAAGGCTCTCTCTGGCATTTATTTCATATCACTGATAGGCACTGCCTTGCCCGCGGGCAAAGCTCCTTAAGCTTTCTGTACATTATGTATAGGCGCGAGCAGAGTAAAAGCTCTCTCTACCCATCGCTGTTTTATACGGCTCAACTAATACAACCCATTAACTTTTACAAAATCTTTTATTTTTCACCGCCCCTATTTATAAAAATTCCTCTGCATGGTATGCGTCCAATTTCACATTTATAAATAACTTATTTTGCTTACAGGTGGATTGGTTCTACGCAATTCCAAACGCACCATGCGAGACGTGCCTTCCCCTCGTTCGACGAGCCGAAATTCAAGGCCACCTTCGACGTGACAATCCGTCGCCCTAAAACGTTTAATTCTTTTGGCAATACCCGTATTTTACGAACAGACAATTTTACGTGAGTTATACAATACTTAAATTTGTCCAGTGAGTGCTTTCGCTTTAATTTAACGAAATTTAATTTCCAATATTGCAGTGATTATGAGGAAGACGTGTACGCACCAACGCCACGCATGTCCACCTATTTATTGGCATATATCGTTTCCGAATTTAAGCAACGTAAAAACGACAAATTCGGCGTAATTGCTCGCGAAGAATATTATGATCAGACAGAATACAGTTTTACTGTTGGTCAAGAAATTTTAGATAAATTGAGTGACTACTTAGGCATTGATTATTATAGCATGGGCAACGATAAAATGGACATGGCTGCCATTCCCGACTTTTCAGCCGGTGCCATGGAAAACTGGGGTCTATTGACCTACAGAGAACGCGCATTACTTTACGACTCAAACTCCACAACGCTAAGTGCTCAGCAATCTATTGCCGCTGTCGTTGCTCACGAGCAGACCCATATGTGGTTCGGTGATTTGGTGACATGCGACTGGTGGAGCTATACATGGTTGAATGAGGGCTTCGCACGCTACTTCCAATACTTTGGCACACATATGGTGCGTATTGAATATTGTGCCTGCAGTTATTTATTGTTAAGAATTTCGTTTTGTTTTTTATCCTGCAGGTTGAAACTCACATGTCGCTGGATCAACAATTCTTAGTCGATCAATTACAAGTGGTAATGAGCATGGACTCTACCAATAGCACCAACCCAATGAGCGATGAAAACACTCACACGCCTTCGGACTTGAGTCGCATGTTCAACAGCATTTCATACAACAAGGGTGCGAGCATTATCCGCATGGTTAAATATGCTATAGGCGAAGAAAATTTCAGAAAATCGTTGCAAACTTACTTGGCGAAATAGTATGTCTTATCAAAACTTGTATAATGCAGTTCAGTTTTTCATTTGAGATTTCATTTTTTCTCGCTTAGCAAATACAATAATACCGTTCCTGCTTATCTTCTCGAGGTTTGGCAAGACTATTGGCCTGCTGAAACAAAACAGTATTCAGAAGCCGTATTCAACAGCTTCACCACTCAAGTGGGCTACCCGCTCATCACTGTAAAGTTGTCTAGTGACAAGAGTTCTTTCCTCATCAATCAGACCCGTTTCCTGCTGAGAGATCAGAGCACATCAGACCCTAACTTACTATACACCGTCCCAATTTCATATACGACCAACATAGAAAGCAACTTCGAAGACACAACGCCTAAATTGTATCTCCCTGCCGCGAAATTAAATGTAAATGTGGATCTGCCGAACAGCGTAGATTGGCTCATTGTTAACGTACAAGAGTCTGGCTACTATCGCGTTAACTACGATGAAACTACTTGGCATGCCATCCATCATGCCCTAACCTCTGCAAACTACAGTAATATCCACCAGCTGAATCGTGCGCAAATAGTCGATGATCTGCTGAATTTGGCGCGTGCTCATATTATCGAGTACGAATTGGCACTTAACGTACTCGAGTACTTGGAGAGCGAAACTAATTACCTGCCATGGACTGCGGCCTTCAATGCCTTCTCTTACATCGGCATTCGTTTGGGCAGCGACACTGAAAGCTTCGCTTCGTACATTCTCGAACTCACCGCAAAAGCCTATGAAGAGCTCGGTTTTGAGCCACGCAGTAATGATACTTCACTGGATATCTATAATCGTGCAAAAATTCTCTCCTGGTCCTGCAAGTATGGTCGTGAAGATTGCATTCAAAAGTCAAAAGAACATTTTGCCAAAATCAATACGACAGCAGTGCCTGTGAACATACGTTCAGCTGTGTACTGTAATGCTCTGCGTTACGGTAATGAAAGCGATTACGATACACTGTTCAACAAATTTTTGACCAGCACGTCTGCAACTGAGCAAACGCTGATCCTTAGCACACTGGGATGTGTTACGGATAGTAAACTCATTGAGAAATACTTCTGGGCCATTGTAGGCGATCAAATTCGTCGTCAGGATAAATCGAGCGCACTAAGCAGCCTGTACACTGAAAACAATGAAAATGTGGAACCTGTCTATAAACTGGTTACTGAAAACTATGACGCACTTGCTGAATCGTAAGTATTTTCCTTCTCTAAACATATACTAGGTACTATTTATATATACATTGTTTTTTATTTTCATTCATACAATGCTGGAAAATCTGCCTACTTAACTTCTAATTTTACAGATTGGGCAGCTATTCCACAGTTGCTACAGTAATTTCAAATCTAGCCGCACGCTTTACCACTGAGAGCCAACTTCAGAATTTGAAAGAGTTTAATGAAAGGAACAAGTCCAATTTTGGCAGTTCCCAGTCAACATTGGTGGCGGCTGAGACTACGGCGGAGGAGAATTTAGCGTGGGCCACGACTAGACTAACAAGCTTTAAGAACTATTTGCTGAAACGCAAGAGCAACGGTGCGACTGCCAATACTTTTGCTGTACTAACACTGGTTGTCTGTGCGGCTGTCGGTCGCTTCCTGCAGTAAATTCATCTTCGGTCGTTAAGTAGTAATACATAGGTATATTCCTATATAAATATAAAGGCTTTTGTAATTTAGTAGGTTAAAAGCTTCTGAAAATGTCAATCTGTTTTCTCGTTGATAGATTTTGTATGTAAAAATGATAAGTTGAATATGAATTTGTGAGTAAGAATTCAAGTCTGGAATAAAAACGTATATTAATTAAACAATATACTATATACATACATACATAGGCGGTATTTTACGTTTGGGTGGTTTATTTTCAAATATTACGTCGGAATAAAAGAGTTACTTAGTTTTCATTCTTATCGCACTGAAACTCTGCCAGCGGTACCTGGTGGCACTCGTTTCTCGCTGTAATCGTTTAAGCGATTTCCAATAAAACACGCCAGTCACTTTCATCTATGCCAGCCGACGTCAGTTGTATATAGCGAGTAATGCCAAGTCCTTCTCCAAATGGTTACTCAATAGCAAATGCATTCCTCTTCCCCAGAATATCTCATTGAATACATTGCACACGTTGTTTTGAGCCTCGTTACGCAAAAAAAATCCTCGTATGACACCCCCTTCTCTTGATGACAGCCACTGCACACAGACAAAGGCCCAACATTTGAGGACATGCTTCTGGAGTGTCAGGACCTTTAATTGAGAAGTTGCGTCTGCCCGGTTGGTTAGTGTCGCCGAGAATACTAAAGCAGGCATTACAAACCAAATGCCCTTGCGACGTCTACTACATCTTCCAGTGGCGGATCCAGCGGGGGGTATCGGGGGTTAAACTACGTGTCAGTCAGTGGCGGACCCACGGTCGGGGGGTGTTTTAATATGGCACATATGTATGTATAATATGGCGTCTATGTATTAAAACACCCCCCATGGGTCCGCCACTGACTGACACGTAGTTTAACCCCCAAAAGTCCCCCCTCCCCCGCTGGATCCGCCACTGACATCTTCCATGATGGGCGAGGGAATCCATCGACGTGTACCATCGATCACCCCGGTGAAGGAGTTTCTCGCCGCAGTCCCTATCAAATCGAGGTTTTTCAACATCTCCTTTGTTTGCGAACAAGCCTCGGCGGAACATAAAGACGATGCGACCAAAGTCTTCTTCTTTAAACAATACATTTATCATGTTAGACGATTTCAATTCTACGGTGTACAGAGAAAGGAAGGAATTATAAAAATTGGCAAAATATTTAGCTAAGCTCCGCCAATAACATTGTACAACACCAAAATAACGTGGTTTTGACAACAGATTATGTAAACGGGGAGATTCGGTGAATCCAGAGGCGCAGAGTCGAATTTTACGCCAAATATTTTTGTTATACATTTTAACGAGTTCTGGCGCAGTTTTAAAGGAATTTTTTTTTCGTAGTTTTCAAAGGGTCCGGATTTTTTGAAAATTATGTTTGGAATATAAAAATTATAATTTGCTAGCTTGATAAATTTGATTATTTAATGTCACCTATTTCACCTGGCAAAGTCCTCATATATAGTTAAATTAACCGCCAATCTGACCAGATTTGTGGAACATAGAGAGATGTTTCCTAATCATACTCCAGGCTGTTTGATAAATCACCGCGCATCCGAATAAAAATTCCTATTTTTTCCTACGCTAATATATTCTTTCCCTACCAAATTCCCTAAAACATTTAGCCATATAATGTTTTCCCACTCCATATAAAAAATGTATTTAAATAATTTTACCAAAATTACTGAAATTAAATTAAATAAAATTTCGATCAAGCTGCAATTCAAGAATGAGAAGCATTGAGTGATTTTTTTTATTGCTTGAGAGCCACATTAAAACGCTTTTAAAGCCAAACTTCGAAATTGCGTTCGACATTTTTACTCAAGTTTTTGTTGCTTAATTTCAGTGTAAAAACTATAGTGGTAAAATAAATTATCTTCAACTAAAACTTATTTGCCGTTAGGATAATATCTGTAGTCATAAGCAATAACCGCCTTAGTCGACTTAAGAAAGAATTGAGTTGTGTATGCTATCGTATTCTGCAACTACTATTCCATGTGTATGTGTGTGTATCCCCATCTCGCCCGCTAGGCTATTTAAAAATTTATAGACGGACATATTTTAGTTTCCCCATAAGGTGAACATTTAGGCGGTAATTGCTTATGGCCACAGATATAAAACCGTGACAAGGATGCACAGCTTTGCCAAAGAACAAAACACTTAGAGGGGATTTTCTTAAACACTTAAAGTCTTAAGCCGTGTAAACTCGTAATTTTACGGGGCTATTTATGCGAACACGCCCTTGTGCCAATGCGTAAATAGTGGGATGTTCGATTACTCACTTTTTTCCAAAACCGGTTTTCGGGTTATTCGAAAATTACAAACCGCATAAACTGGGTTTATTTTACATAGCTTTCATACAGTGAAAATGCTTACACTGTAAAAAAAGATTGTGTAGATTTCCTAACTAAAAGGAAGGTTACTGATTTCCTACCTTATTATTCGCGAAATTACATGTTCGATTATTCAGCGAATAGTTTGTTTAAATTTCGGACTTTTTAGAGTGTTAATATAGCCGTTGTGGTTTGGATAAATTTACTACGAAAGTGTGTACAAGCTACAAAATAATACACATCTGCTGTTTGATTTCATCCGTAGAATTGTGTAAAGCCGCTAACAAAAAGGACTTTTACACACGAAAATGTGTAAACAAGAAAAATACATATTCATCAGTTAAATTTACCAAAAAAATTTAAAATTAAACAAAAATATACTCGATTTATAGTCGTATTTTACCCCACCTCAAAAACGCCATAAAAAGCGCACCGAAGATAATCTAAACAAGCGAACCGTTTTGTAGAAAATATACAGAGGCCGGTTAGTGGAAAAACCCAAAGTCAATAACGTAAAAATGCTTATTGAATTCGCCATATGTGGATATTAAGCTACACAAATTAATCATTGTTTTCAAAAAAAGAAATTAAAATGCACTTTGAGTGAAAAAATATATATTTATCCTAACAACATTTTTTACTCAGTAAAAATTTCTTCCATTTAAAACTTTTTAAATATCTCTGACTACGAAATTCGTTTAAAAATTAAAAAAAAAAAGTGTAAGGGAAGAGGGCCTCCCCCATATGCATTTATTACAAGAACCGGATTTTTTCTTGGCGGCACTGTGTATATGCATATGTGTATATGTGCGCCATTAAATAATATATTAGCAGATCTTCTGCCTTATCCGATTATCACCTGCAATCGTTACCTAAGCAATTTGTTTATTGTTGCGCTGTTAAATGCAAAATGATCATAAAATGTGTACGAATTGGAGTAAATACAATCATAAATTAAACAGTGATAGCGACAGAATACAATTTGTAAACATACTTTTACTATATATATGTGTGCATGTACATTACGGTGGTCCAAACAAAGAAAAATCGGAATTTTAATATTTTCAACCCAAAGTACATTTCTACATCGAAAAAATTAACCCTCAAATAAACGCTCAAAGTTTTCCATGTACTTATTTTATATGGGAAAAAACAATGTAAGTGTTCACACCTGTCTGTTTATGTATTGTAATATTGTAATTGTTTATTTAAACATTTTCTAATATTATTTTTTAAGGGTCCCCGAAATCCCCCCCAAAAAATAATAAAAAATCGTTAATCTTAAAAAGTTATTAAATACATAATTGAGTATTATTCTTTGAAGTCTCCTGAAGAGAAACATAGTTTGCCGGTTTAAAAATATTGATTACAAGGGATTCTAAACCATATCTACGAAAACATAAAATGCATGGGAAACTTTGACTGATCTCTAAATATTTTGTGATTCCAAAACAAAAAAAAAAAAACGGAGGATTATTTTTTACGATATAAAACAATTCCAGAGGTTTGAAGCATTAAAATTACGTACTTACTTTTGGGAATGCATTTATTTTGATCACCCTAATGTAAATACATATGTATATTTATATGTACATCTTGGTATGTACATTTGTATGTAAGATTAGTACGTTGTTGTTAATTCACACTAATATAAGAGATAATGAGCAGACACCAAATACCAAGCACGAAGCAATGAGAATATCATACGAAAAATTGCAGAACGTCTTCACCAGCCTCCATGCGTAGTTTGGCCAAAGGGGTTTTTTCTTAATTTTCTTAATTTTTTTAACTAAGTAAAAGTATTTTGGAAATTTTGAATATGTGCTTTATTCGATTAATTGATCCAATCTCTTACGTATGAGTGCATGTGTATCCAATGAATTCTAAAATCACAATACTTCTTTTGTTGCTGGCCTGCAGCTCTGTGAAAGCTAATAACGGCGTCTTCGAAACATCGTACCGGTTGGGTGATGATGCGGTACCCGACGCCTATGACATTTGGTTAAAGCCATACCTGCTGGCTACAGATGGAACGCGTCGCTTCACTTTCGATGGCGAAGTCAATATAACGTTACACTCCACGCGCGCAAGTATACGCGAAATTACTTTGCATAAAAACCTAATTGAGATCAATGGCGCTTGGCTTTATAACAGCAGCATTGTCGGTGGTGGGCTTATAAAGTCGTTCGACAACGATGATTTAACCTACAATGAGACAACTCATAAACTAACAGTGCATTTGGGGGATCAGCAAATATCGAACAACAACTATACGCTGCGCTTCAAGTACACTGGGCAGATACGTGATGGTCTGCAGGGATTTTTCCGTGCTAATTACACCGATAGCTCCGGCAATGAAAAGTTTGTGAAATGATAAATAGCTATTTCAGTATCTAAGCAAAAATATTTGATATTTATACCTTTCATGAGCATGAAATGGTATTATAACTTTGGTCCGATGTTTGTAAGTACCAGAACAAAAAGAGATAGACCCATTAAAATGTATACTTATATGATCAGAACGTCGAGCTGAGTTGATTTAGCCATGTCCGTCTGTCCGTCTGTCCGTCTGTCCGTCTGTTTGTATGCAATCTAGTCTCTCAGTTTTCGAGATATCCGTATCAAATTTGGTAGGTGGGTGTATTTTTATAATGTATTAATCATTTGTCGGAACCGGCAGAATCGGACCACTATAACATATAGCTCCCATACAACTGATTGTTCAGATATGAGATTTTTCGTTATAACTTCTCCATTTATGCAGCTACGAACATGAAATTTTGCAGTACTTGCACCCATTATCAACAGAATACTTACAGTGAAAATTACAAAGATCGGGTCACTATAACCTATAGCTCCCATACA